CTTTTTTACTACACTATGCTCCTCGGAAAGGGAATAGGTTATCTTTAGTCTAGGTTCAGTCGTATGTGTGCGTGGCCCATTGAGGTCCACGGATCCACTCTTTTTTGTTCCATGCATTTTGATCTCCTTAACACGATAAGCAAGAGTGGATCACTTGAATCAATGCCGTTAAATCGGTATTAATAAATTTTAGTAACGAATTAAAAAATCCGGTTTTCTGCTTAAAAAAAAATTTGGTAACATTCTTTGGCACATTTCGAGCAAAAAACCAGTTTGGATGCTATTCCTAAGCCCCGTAGATTTTAAGTTGAAAATTGCTCAAGGTCAAAAAAATGCATTTCTTAAGATATTCGACCACGTGTTACTCAGCTGCTGTTATATTTTTTTAACTCACCTAGACTAAAAATTTACCTCAAAGCATGTACTTTTGAATAAAAAAAAATTTATAAACGTCAATTGCTTAACAACTGCGTTGTCGCTGATCTACGAATAGTCATTTTCATAGCCTACTGTATATCTATATACAATCTACGCTCATAACATGTAGATCCAATCCGTAGAGAGCTAGGAGATACGAAAACGACCATTCGTAGATCAGCGATACCGCAGTTGTTAAGCAACTAACGTTTATAAATCTTTTTTTATTTAAAAGTACATGCTTTGAGGTATGATTTGAGTCTAGGTGAGTAAAAAAAATGTAACAGCAGCCGAGTATCACGTGGTCCATTATCTTGAAAAATGCATTTTTTGACCTTGAAGAATTTTTTACTCAAAATCTACAGGGTTAACGTATATTTATCCCAATTGGTTTTTTGTTCAAAATGTGCCAAAGAATGTTACCAAATTTTTTTTAAGCAAAAAACCGGATTTTTTAATTTGTTACTAAAATATGTTAATACCAATTGAACGGCAATAATTCAAGTGATCCATCCTTGCTTATCGTGTTCAGGGGATGAAAATTCATAAAATAAAAAAAGGTGGATCCGTGGATCTCAACGGGCCACGCGCACATACGGCAGGACCCAGACGACTTCTCGCGGTTAAATTACTTTTTTTCCACCCCTCCTTATAATATAATAGGGTATGCTATTGGAGACCTTTAATCTCCTTCTTTTGTCCATTTTCCAAATGCCAAGTGATCTAAGGGTTTGAAAAACTGGCATAGAACTACCGTAAAAATGACGGGGTTTACATAATTTTTTTCATGTTAGACCCAAGACATAAGTACAAGAGTTTTTATGGAACGTTATGAGGTAAAAAATTTTAAAACGTTTATGAAACGAGTTATAAAAATAATTATTTTTCAAGTACTCGAGTGATATAAACAGAGAACCTGTAGTTGAAAAAGAAATCGATGAAGATTTTTTAAATTTAACATCTGTTTATTGTGTTCATGCAGTCATTGATGATTGGAAAAAAGAGATTCATCGTTATACTATGTCAAATCAGGTGATCAGAACTAAACCTATTTTAGAATGGTCAAAAGAGAATAAATATTCTTTTTCCATTTTATCTCAAATGGCTCGTGATTTCCTTGCATTAGTGCCAACTTTAGTTTTAGTGGAATACTATTGCATGTCTGATAGTGACAGCTAAATATTGTTCCATGACGTTCGAGTCCATTCGTACGTTATTATGTATAAATTCATGGATAAAAAGTGAACTTAAACCAGTTATTTGTGACGTACCGTGATATAGTGTAGCGTCAAGCACTAGATGATTTTCTGTTGACATAACACCATCCACAGTCTTCTGCTTAGAAAAAAACATCCAGATTGCACGTTACACTGCACTACAGATAAATAAAAAGTGGACATTTCTTAAAACTTGGAATTTAAAAAAAAAAAAAAACCTTTTAGGAAGAAAGTAATCGCTTATAATTGTTTACAAAGATTGATAACTTGGAAGATTAAAGGATGTAAGTTAAAATGGTTAAATAAATTTTGTATAAGAAGCAGTGTTGAGTCAGTGGTAAATATGCTTGGTAATAAAACGTTAGCATTCTAGAGGTTAAGGGTTTAATTTTCGGTGAATAATAATTTTTTTGGAAAAGTGATTTTCAACAAAAAAAAATTCTTTATGGATCACGACTGTTTCAGGGTAAGTATTTCTGTGAAACTGTACTTCAGTGCAGTTCCTGTAATTCTTTCGTACCCCATAAGTCTTTAGGCCAGGGTGAATGCGAAATAGCGTTAGGACCTTAGAAAAGAGTAAGCATTGTTAACAAAGTAAACATTTTTTACGTTTAACTGCAAAATATTTAAAAAACGACCTACAGCAAAAATGATTAGGTAAAAATTAATTTTAACTAAAAATTATTTTTTCTTTTAGAAAGATTAAATTTTATTGTTTATTTTACAAAACACATAGTTTTCATCAAATGTATAGAATATTTCACTTATGCTTCTACATGATTAAAGAACACCGAAGCAACTCAATAGGCTTTTGGTTCCCGGTCAAATAAGCTGTAATTAATGCATGTTGTAGATTATGATCATCTGATAAAAAGTTACCATAGGCACGTTATCAAATATCCCTGCTCGGGAATCTTTGACTTTTGACGACGAGTTGATCATATCGGAGATATCAGCTAAGTACGGCTAAAAATCAACAAGAACTGAATTTATTAGACAATGTTTCTTGCGAAAAAAAAAAAAAAAATATCAAAGATCCCCGCACGAAAACTTTGACTTCAGACGAAGGGTCGAGCTTATCGGAGATGTCAGTTGGGCACTGCTGAAAATCTCATTGCCACGAAAAGAGGTTCAGGATAACGCAGGATGTTCAAGTATTAGGTTTTTGGAAACTGGAGGAGGAAGTGGTGGTGGGGTCCAGATCCAAGCTCACTGCACCTGTAAGCAATAGCGCAAATAAAATAATTAAGAAATAAAATGAGAAAAATATTCGTTATCAGTAAATGATCAATTTAGTTATAATTAATTACAAAATAGATTTCACTTATAATAACCCTAAGAAAAGTATCTACTTGGGACCCCACGTGAGATTTTACGTAGGCGCCCACGTGGGTTCCCACGTGGGATTTTACGTGGGAACCTACAATAACTATGTTTGTTACCACGAAAAAAAATAATTTCATGGAAAATATACATTCTATCTTATAAGACAAGTAGTTCCTAAGAAAGCCTCATGTTCGTTATCTGAATGGCTAGAAATAAACAAGTGACCTTTATTGAAACAAAACGCGTGAACCTTAGAAATTAATACCTAATGAATCAAGACTATACAATGATTGTTATTTGGTAGAAATTAGAATAAAAAATGAAGATCTAATTGATGCTTGATTATGGTTTTAAATAAAAGTAATCGTAAATATGACTAGTGGTAATAATATTACTATGTAGTAGGTGTAACAAGTGATTGTTAAACAAAAAAGCAGACAAAAGCAGATGTAATTAATTAAGTAGGTTCGATACAATCTTTCAAAGGGGTGGTGAAGTGGGGTCTGGGGTGTGGGAAGCTTACGGCATTACTGACAGAACGTAATATGGGTAATTCCTATGGCATACATGCATTGATCGTATAAAAATAACCAAAGTTTTTATTTAAAAAAACTGTGATTTTNAATAAAATGAGAAAAATATTCGTTATCAGTAAATGATCAATTTAGTTATAATAAATTTCAAAATAGATTTTGATTATAATAATATTATTGACAATCGTTAAAGAATTTATGTGTAAAAAAATAGGGTCAGCATATCTGTTTGTAGAAGATTAATTGTGACAACTTATATTAACGATCATGATTGAGTATGTCTCGGCTATTAATGGTTAAAAAATAACAAAACTACTTATTTATCGGTTAATTATGATAAGGGCTTTCGCATAATAGAGGCTATTGATTTCCTATTTAAGACAATAATGATAATGAGCTATACTACTATTGATTCAGCTAAAATAGTTTTATATTGCGCTTAATGATATTCAAGAATGGTATAGATGCACTCGTCATAACCCTTTTCGATCATTTCTCTGTACATCGAACGAGCTACTTTTATTGACTGTACTGCGTCACCTGTCAAACTTACCTTTGCAGAATCGGCGACTCAAATAATTATTTTCTTTAAAACTGTCTATTGTCGGGACTTGTACTTATGGTAACTTTTTATCGGATGATCATAATCTACAATATGCATTAATTACAGCTTATTTGACCGGGAACCAAAAGTCCATTGAGTTGCAGCGGGGTCCTTTGTTATACGTCTAACAAACGATTGTTTTATTTATTGAATGCATTATTTGTATAACTCTGATAAACTTAGAAAATACTGAATTTGTCTCCCAAGGATTCGAACTGTACTCATCTTTTTACAGTTATAAAACGTCTAATTTTATCTTTTTAAAAAACTAACATGATTTTTGTCTTTAAAAATTGTAAAAAGCAGAACGTTATCTCCTGAAAACAACAATTTATATTTTTTGTCGTTACAAAGTTTAAAATTCAACAATTTAATCTTCAGAATACAACAAAAACCTTATTCTTATTACCGTTGACATTAAATCTTCAAGTTTAGAAAGTAGAATGATTTATTTTTTGTCTTATCGTGATAACGAAACCAAATAATATAATTCTCAAGAATTCTCGTTCCACATTGCGGCTGACTTACCTTTCACCAGAACAGAATTCCTAAGGTACTAGTTTTTGTCACATTCATAAATTTTATTAAGATATGTTTTACTGTTACTCCAGAGACCAAAAAGTAACAAAAAAATTTTTAAATATTACCTGCAATAAGGTTTTTTTATAGAGCTTGTTATGGTATTGCTATTTGAAACAGAAAAGCATGGATTCTTTACAGCACTTAAAAAACTTGATTTTCAATGGTTCATGAATACAAGACTCATAAAATCTATGAATTATAAATATATGCTTGAATAATGTTTTTGGCTATCGACAAGCGGATAGACAGGTATTATAGAAAAATAACACATGTAAAATAATAAATAACATTAATAATGTATTCACAAAATAAGAAACATACCTCTAAAGTTATCGTATCATCTTTAATGTAACCTTTTTCAATGTCAAGAACATCTTGCAATGACATAAAATGACTAAAACCCCAATCGTTTTCTTTGCTGTAGAATAGATGTTGTATCTCTGAAATAAATATTTTTCAAAACTGAAATCAGCATATCATTTGATATTTTTATAATTTAAATGAAATAAACATTCAAACGATATTATTATACTGTGCACTTTGAGCGAAACATGAAAATCTCAACATTAACTTTTATGCGTTAAAAATTAATTTAGATTATTTATTATTGTTTGTCTGCATATAAATTTTTTTTTTCATTGTTTTACTTAAAAACATTAAATAAAGTAGATACAAATATATGACATGATTAGATATGGACGGCTTGTAATGCTAAAAGTAACACCCAAAATTAGAAGAATTTTTTTTTTATAATAGGATACATAAAGGAGTTAATTATCCAGCATTCATTGCTTGAAGAAAATTAGAATCACATACTAATATTTATTAAAAGGATTAGTATTTTTTTACGTTTAGGCCGAAAAAAAGGGGGGTTGCTCGAAAAAAATGCCAACTGAGAAATTTTGACGGAAATTAGTTCGTCTTACTGCGTATTAATCATAAACTTAAAATCCCTTGGGCAGCTTTGCTAGATAAAACTAAATGTGGCATTAGTTTTGTAAAAAAAAATTTTTTTTAATTTAAACACTTAACATATACTTTTTCATTATACTTTTGCTACAGTTTTTTATCAATTATTATGGTTTTTATATAAAAATCAAATTGAATAATCGGTTAGTACACGTCAGGTACTTGTGTTTTAACGATTAATATAAAAATAAGCAAGATTCGGTTAAGAGTTCATTTCTTTACAATTCTTTTAAAGGTTAGCTTCATTACATACATAAGAAAATGAATAATTTACGTGTTATAGCAGTATAATCGTTGTAATATTAACAAATAATCTAATAACATTTTTCAAAAAAATTTAAAACAAAATTTTTAAAAAATACGTGTATTACACTATTTAGAAATGTTTTGCTCACTGAATAACGGGAGATACGGTAATTTTAACGGAGTTTGATACTGACGCATCTTTTTCTCCACCATCACCTTCATAACTATTCGAAGAATCTTCAGAAATAATTTCAATTTCTTCGTTTACAGGGTTGATGTGGGAAAAGTACGAATGCAACCAACATACGAAACACTTCTCCGTTTGAATTTGACGCATAAGCAGCGGAGAGAAGAACAGCAGTACTAAAAAGTACGATACTGCGGCTGCAGAGAGCATAGCTTACATTGTACCTATTTACGCCATACTTGTCCAGGTCGTAATTGTTTTAACATCTAACCAGTAATCGTCGACATTCCACGTAATTCCGAAGTATTAGACGACATCGAACATAACCACATCAACTCGATAAGCGTCTTTAATATCAGACTCAACAGCGGCGTTGGCTCAGTGGTAAGCATGCTTGTTACTGATACAATGCTGTTCCAGGAGTTGTAGGTTCAATTTCCGATGGATGCAGATTTTTTCAAAAACTGTTTTCATTGGGAAAAGTTTCTACGTAACCTCAGCTCTTTTGGGGTGCATTTTACCGTGGAATTTTCCTTCAGAGTAATTCCAGGGTTTTTTCCTTGCCCCACTGGTCTTTGGGCCTGGGTGAATGTGAAACAGTTTTAGGGCGAAAGGTAGGTATTTGCAGATCCGATGCGCGAGGCAGGAATTGCCGGCATTACCGGCAAGGAGTGGGCATCCTAAAATATGAAGTCTTCTCCAGGGAAAGACTACACAGTGGCGAGTGGACCCGATGCACCGTTGGTGCAGAGAGTGTCAGCTTAACTGGCAAGGTGTTTAATCAGAGATACTTACACTGTGTCCATGGCTTAGGTATCATATCAGTAAAAGGGTTAGAAATGAGTGCGGCAATACACCTGCATACATGAATGGTGAGTGGGTGGCTCCGGCGACTAGACGAAATAGGCTGTCAAAGTAACCCGGTAAAAAAAAAAAAAAAAAATATCAGACTCCCTTAAAATGAGCATATCTCCCGTAATTAAGCATGAAAACGATTTATAAATATAGTGATACATTTTTTTTTAACAAATTATGAAATATGATTTTCTTTTTGTAATTTTCACAATGTAACAAATTTTTTTGAAATTTTTAATAAAATCATTTGTTAATATTACAACAATTATATTGCTATAAGTGAATTACGTATTTTTTAATTAATGTCAAATTGCTTTTCTTTAAAAGAATTGTAAATATATGAATTGCAGTAGGCACTGTTAACCGTAGTTAAGGTATTTGTGTATTAGTCGTAAAACACAAATAACGGACGTGTATCAATAAATTTTTGCATTTAATTTTTATATTTATTCACAAAAATGCACAACGTATTCGAAAGAGCTTTGATAACATTGCAAGTGCGATAAAAACGATAATAACTGATTGAAAACTGTAGCGAAAATATAATGAAAAAGTACAAATTGGGTGTATAAATGAAAATAAAGATTTTTTTTTACAAAACTAATGCCACATTCAGTTTTATCTAGCCAAGCTGCCGCAATTCGGTTGGTCATAAGTTTTTGTGCGACCATGAAAAACCAAGATATCGAAATTTTTTCAAGCACGCCCGATTGGAAACGCTCGTGCTCAGTTCTCGTATCACCAGATGCCAGCTATTCCTACCTTGCCGATAAAATTAATGTTAATTCTAACATAACATGTGGCACTGAAACGACATGTTGTATTTTTTTTACCAAACGAATAACTGTTGGAGTGTAATCCCTAAAAATTTCAACCTTTTTTGGTTGTAAAATTAGGCATTAGGAAGTTTTGTTAATCGTAGGGCAATTTTTTTTTTTGTTCTAAATTAAGAAAATAATTCTGCCAATGGAATGGCAAAATTTCCAAAACGATTCCGCTTATATTTATTAAGTTATTTGATTTTACAACTTTTTTTTCCACTTCAATTTGTAAGACCTTGGTTGCCAAAATCGATTGGCTATTAAAAAAGTCTAGAAGAACAACACTTAAAGAAAATAATGAGTTCAAATACAACACTCTACGACCTAACAAAGAGGAAATAATTAGGTTGCGAAAAAGTACTGTTTTAATGAACAAATGGATCTTTGCAACAAATATTCGAGAAAAAATTTCCAAAAAATACCACTAATACTATAGGTCAATGCCTACAGTCGATGTAAATTTGGAACGTCTAGGTATACAATTGTTTGTTCAAAATGTTATTTAAAAAACATCGATTTTTAGCAGTTTTTTGCAGTGCGGAAAAAAACAAAGAACGAATTAAAACCCAACTGGCCTCATTTTGTAGATCTTTCTAATGCCTCCAAGTTCCTATTTAAACAATTTTTTCTAAATACTCAAGAAAAAATTATGATTGCGAAAAACTACGTTTTCGCTACTTTACAGGCGAATAAAAAAAATCCTGCAACTGTGTAGCTGTTGGATGTTAAGTTTATTATTAATACGTATTTAGAGGAACCAATTTCTGTCAAAATATCTCGGTTGGCATTTTTTTTCAAACATTTTTTCAATCGACTCTTTTTTNTGCTAGAATTCTTTCGCAAGTTTAGAAAAAAAGTGTTCTACGACCAACACAAACAGAGTTACGGTTTTTTGATGTGAAACTTTTCATGTTGGGCCGCGAACAGCCACGTGAGGGGTAATGCGTTACGAAAAAACGTAGCCACCCTGCGGCCCAAGCCCTCACCTCAATTTCCTCTCTCACAAACTTCCACCCGCTCCGCCTCTCTCTCTCTCTCTCTCTCTCTCTCGCCAATGATGTTTTCAGTCGTACAACGTTAGGAGTAGGTGCAAATTGTAGGTGCCACTTTTCTACAAATTAAAAAAAAAAATTTTCTCTCACTAACTCAGGAGCTTAAATATTTTTTTTAGCTTATGTACTCATGTATAAAGTTATACTCCTATGGCAGACAATATACATAAATGAAATTATAATTTTTATAAAAGGATATTTTAAATTACCCTCTACGATGTACCAAATGTTGTGCAATTCCCGTTGACATGAGGATATTCAGAAATTTGGGGTATGGTTTTAATAAATTTTTAAAGAATCGATCAATAAATAAATAATTACAAACAATATATTAAGTAGACAAGAAAAGTGTGAAGTGAAGCCATGGCATGACGTTCTGCTAAGCTGGCCTGTACAAGACTGCATACTTTCATCGAATCTTCCAATAATTTTGAAACAACTTCCTACGCTGATAAATACTCTCACGTCACGATTGCACGTGCTACTTATGCTCCTATATACATTCTCGGTCGCCTTTACAATATCTACACTCTACATATGACAGTAAAACATCTTATACATACTTATAATTTTTGATCAGGTAATATTATATGCTAATAAATGCAGCCTAACTCAAAAGATCACTGTATACGCAAATAAAAAAGTTTTAAAGAAAGACGCCATGAAAATGTGATAATTTATTCAAAGTGAGCTGCGACTACTAGTGCCGAAAAGCCTGTATAAATGTGAATGAAGTGGCCAAAGTTAAAACTAAAACACTAACCATTTTACATGTTTAAATAAAAAGCGTAAAAATGGAGCACCATTCTATCATGCCTGAAACTAAAACTTCATCCACGGGGCCCACCTCGAATTCATAAAACATCGTATTAACAAACCATTCAAAAAAAAAAACGATCAAAATTTTAACATAGATCTTATGAGGGATTTTTTATATTGTACTGACAGTTGTGGCCTTCTTTGGCTAATTTTTGCCAAGAAATAGTATTAGAACTTATTGCATTTAAAAAAAATATATTTTTCATAATTCTTAAATTTTCGTACGGTACTTTCGTGATAAGCTTCCTGAAAAAACATTTTTTATAAATTGAATTATATTTTGTTCAAATTTTTTTTTTAATAACGTTATATGTAAGTATACAAAATACATATTAAATTATATTTTTATCTGGAAACCTTTCATATGTACAGAGTAATTCTAATATAAGCACCTTAACATAATGTCTCAATTTATTCATTATTTTAATGACATTTAATGTTTGATCACATTCCCTCCACTCCCCTCATCATCTCTTCGTTTCCCCTCAACC